AATGAGCTGAAACTCTGCAGAAGGACATCTCCCTGCCTTGAGCTCACGGTACACGGGGGGCATGGGGGCGGGCCACGAAGCTGGGTGTCCAGCCTCTAACGGGAGGCTGCGGGCCTCGGCGCATTCTTGCTAGGGGTGGCACTTGGTTTGGACAGTGGACTCCAAACTGGGTGGCCCAGAGTACTTTAGAGGTGGAAGGGGAAGGAACGAAGGGAAAATGGCCAGTGAGGGAGCACCTGCTGTCTTCCTCTGGGTGGCATCACAAGGGTCAGCACCAAGCCCAGGGATGGTGCCCTTAGAAGTGGCCTAGCAGAACATCCTTGGGGATGTTCCCTGGGCCCCGGGATGGCATATGTCTCAGCTGGAAAGGACACTGCTCCATGGCCTCAATTCACAGTTGAATTTCCAGGCTCAGAAAGACTACAGTCTTCTACCGTGGCTGACAGAGGATAAAGGGTAAATCCAGGTATGGGACTCATGTGTCTCATCCCTTTCTCTAATCCTACCCTGCCAATGGCCAACTGGAGGCCCCAAAGGGAGGCTGGAGATGGTGTCTGTGATCCCAGTACAGTCCACTGAACGCAGCCCTCTACATGGGGACCCCAGCCCAGGCAGCAGCAGAGATGCCACAATACTGGCAAAGGCCAGCCCAAGGGAGGCCTTTGTCCACCCCTACAGTCAGAGAGAAGGAGTCAGTCACCAGGGACAGGTACGGCAAGGATGGAGAGCTGCCCAGGGGAGCGGATGTCAGGCCCGTTCCTCTTCACAGCCATTCTTTCCACTTCCGCTCCGCAGGAGAGTGGTCAGCCTCTTGCAGGATGCTGGGCTGACTCCCAGGCTGCATGCTCAGCCCTCGGTAGCCAGGCCAAGAACTCTCAGAGCTAGGGCCGGGCTGGGCTGGTTTTACCCAAACCCATCATGTGCTCAGGTCCCCTGGAGCTGCAGAGCTGATGCCCGGGGCTTCGGGCTGTGCCTCGGAAGACTGACCTGGGCTGAGGATTCTGGCTCCAGGGAGGGTCCTCCAGGGAAGGCCTGGATTCCACCCACCAACAGCCTGGCCTCCATACAAAATCTCAGGGCCTCTTCAGTCCAGGGTCCCCAGCTTTTATCCTGGAAGTACCTCTTTCCCCAGGGCTATAACCACTTCCCCTTCTAAATCTCACCTCAAAGGCCCCTCACATCTCTACCTCCCTCCCTCAGGCCTAGCCCCAATGTGGGGGGCTCCTGATTGAACCCTATGATGTTCTTGGGGCATGGTTCACACCCCTGACTGCAGCCCAGCTCTCACTGGTAATTGTCAAGGCTGGCTCTCCCCTTGACCCTTAGAAAGGCTAAGAATCAGGAAGTCAGTACAGCAGCCAAAGCCCCAAATGATCCCTCACCCAGCCAGGGGAGGGCCTGCAGGGAAGACAGGGGAAATCAAGGGACCAGAGTGCTGTAAACACCAGGGACCCTGTGGTGGCTCGTGTGGAGACCCAGGTGGCAGCTCAGGGTCCCAGCCAAGAGCCCACTGTCTTCACAAGCCCAGGAACACCCAGCCCAGCGATGCCATCTTCTCCCCCTGGATTTTCTTTCTAGCAGTCCAAGGATGCGCTACTCCAACCCAACCCCAGGCAGGCCTGGCCTAGAGACGCCAGAGGGCCCCCCCTCCCAGCCACCACCCTTCTGCCTTTGTGACGTCAGAGCCTGGCTGGGTGCGGCCGCACATGGACCCTTCTAGGTAAGGTTACTGTGTGTCAAGAGCTCCAACGGCAGAGGGATCGGCCTCTTGAACAGAAAGAAGCCAAAAGGGAGGGCACTTTGGGAGGGCGGAGGTGAGACCCACACTTCTGCACTGAGGCCTTGCAGCGGATTTCCTCCTGATACTGATGGGGCAGCCACCTACCCCATCAGAGGCGCCCTCCGATGGGAACACAGGAGCCACCACACATGCCACCCCTGAGAGGAAGGACCACAGGGAATCTCTGGTCCCTCTGAAAACTCAGGGATGATCAGTTCAGCACCTGAGGGAGAGACCTCAGGAGTCCACAGCCCCGAGAACAGGAGGGTGGCTGGGTGGCAGCCACCCCAGGTTCCCTTAGCTAGGCCCGCTGGAACTCCAGCTTCTGCCCCAGCCTCTTCCTCGGCCCCCAGAGTCTGCCCAAGCTGCACCCCCAGACATATACCAGCATCAAGAGCTTCAGGTTGATGGAAGGCTGGGGGACCCCTTGATCTCCAAATCTCTGATAGCATCAGATCTAAAGAACACATTCCTTTTCAGCAAAGCCCGGGCTTGGACTGAAGCCTCACCTCCAGGTCCCACTAAAGGAAGCCCCCCCTCCCTACCTGGAGGGCTCCTCTCTGTCCTCAAGCCCCTCCTTCCAGCCCGTGTCCATAGGTAGCCCTGCAGAGTGGGGGACCTGGGTTTTGGGGTCCAACAGACAAAGGCCTAAGCCTGGCTCACTGCTGGGGCTATGTGCCCCCAGGAAAGTTACTTTGTAGCCTGAGCCTCCATCATGAGGTAAGACAGGGATGGTGACACCTGCTTCCCAGGGCAAGCAGGACTCCCCTCCTTCTCTGCTCTGCCTCCAGGCCAGAAGGCTAGGCCCTTCCCTAGTTCCGTCAATACCAGCCATAGATATAACAGGGCACTGGGGAGAAGATGGGATGAGGAAGGGTCATCCCACCCATGACCTCTGACCCTCCCCCACCTGCCACTCGGCACAGCTCCGGTGGGAATCCAGTTCCCTGGCTCTTAGGTGTTGGGGTGGATTCAAGGAAAGGAGTCCTGAATTCCTGGCAAAGTGTCTGAGTCCTGAAACAAGGATGGAGACACACACAGAGGGACTCCCAATCTACTCCCGGATTACCTGCCCCAGCTGCCCCTCTGGGGTCCTTCAGTGGCAAAGGGGACAAGAAGCCACCCCATCCCCTCCCATCATTACCTTCCCAGCAGCCCCACCTTGGGCCCTTTGCCTGGAAAGCTCAACCCAACTCTTCTTTATCAGACTGCTTCCCCTAGCTTTCTTTTCAGAGGGGGGACACCTCTGCATGGCCATAAAGAGCCTACGTGATTGTGACTCTCCCCGCCTCCCACCAGCTTCCTACAGGGACACACACCCTTGGAACAGAGAACAAGCTGGCTGAGGCTCACCAGCTCCCAGAGGCCCGCACTGGGCACCTGGGGCACCGTCTCTCCAACCCCTGGCCCACCCGATCCCCTGAAAATCCCTAGGTCCAGCTCCTGAGCTCCTGGACCCACTGCTAGGCTCCCCCCTCCCATCCCACACACACCCCTACCCCCACCCCTCAGTGCACGTCCAAGGCAGAGGTTCCCTGACAATCTCACTCCCACCCTCCTGGCTGCATCCTTGGGGATGCTGGAATGCTGTGGCCTGCAGGTGGGAGAAGCTGCACTGGGTCCATCCTGTTTCCCCTGCCCTCCCCTCCACCCCACCCTTGGCTATTTATCTTGTCACCCCAGGCCAGCCGGGCTGAAGGTGGTGAGGGGGTGAACGGTCGAGCCAAGATATGGGTCAAGCTTGTCTCCTGGGCCAGGAGTCAGGGACACCTCCTGGGCTGCACACTTCCCTCAAACTGTTAGCTGCAAGAACACGAGCAGAGTCTCCATGAAGCCAAGAGGGTGGTGGGCTTCGGAGAGAGCAGGACTGCAATTCCTCCAGGCTTTACAGCCCCATCGCACTGGGGCCGAGGTGAAGGGAGAGCTGATGCCTGGGAGGGCAGCACCCACGGCAGAATCCAGCCCCTCTGGAGTCTGCCCAAATGCCTGCCTCAGACCCCAGCCAGGACTTCAGTGCCAACCCTTTTCAGCATCCCACCCACTTCAGGGGTCTCCAAGGGGTGGGGACCTTGAGGGGAGACAGGTGAGAGCTACCCCCTGGACACTCCCAGTGCCATCCACACCCTTCTCTGGATGGCAGGATGGGATGGGGGTCACCTGGCTGAGGTCAGTGGAAGATAATCTGGACAGGCTCTCTCCGCCCATGCTTCTAACCCACATCCCTGCCGAAGAAAAAGAACGAGGGGGGGGGGGGGGGGGTAGGGGGAAGAGCAGGCCACCACAGGTCTCACTCAGACAGGACAGAACCAAGCAAATGCTAGTCAGAGTTCAATTTTCCAAATAAAGGGATCTGCACGATCGTATAAGAAGCCCCATCCCCAAAACACGCAAGCCTTCCCTCCTCCCTTCATCATCCTGACTCGGAATTACTGGAACAGTTATCAGAGCTCAAACAGGAACAGGATCTGTAGGCGCCCAGATGCAGATGAGGGTGGGAAAGGGCGGGGGGGTGGGGGGTGTCTCGGAAATGCCCAAAATGGGGTTGGAGAGGGCGGGCGAGAAGGAAAGGGAAGAGGTAGGCGTCCATGACGGCCTCGACATGTCCAAAGTCTCCCTGCGAGCAGCCAACTCCCAACTTGTTTACTTGACAGCGTGTTTTGCTGTTTCCAAAAGGAAACAGTTAAACCTCTGGGCTGGATCGCGAGCAGTCCCTAACTGTCACCTTCCCTCCCGGTTAAGCGCTGCCGCCGCCACCACTGTCGCTGCCGGCGCCGCTGCCGGGGAATTGAACCTCGTCTACTTTATTCCACTTGAGCGTGGCCAAACTGTTGCTATTTAGTGGGGGGCAAAGAACCCGATTCGCACCCTCGAAACGAGCCGCAGCACCTGGGGGCGGGGGCGGGAGCCGGGCCCCGCGTGCCCCGGCCGGCTGGGGTCCTCTCGCGGGAGAGGCACACACACGCATCACCAGATCACGCCTCGCCAAGGCCGGAGTCACCTGGAATACGCAGCCCGAGAGCATCTCCCGAGCCAGAGCGAGCCTGACGCGCGCCCGGCGGGCGGCGGGCGGCGGGCGGCGGGCGGCGGGCGGCGGGCAGCGGCGAGCTGGGGCGGGCGGAGGGCCAGCGAGCCTGACGCGCGCCCTGCGGGTCGGCGGGCAGGCGAGAGGGAGACGCGGAGCGAGGGGAGAGGCGGGCTGGGGAGCGGCCGCCTGACTTACATGGAAGTGATATTCCTTGAGATGTCCGTGATGTTGATGCTGGCATTCCCATTGCTGTTCCCTGAATCCTGCCCTTCCAGGAGGGGGAAGAGATTCCCATCGTCCGGCCGCCGGCAATTGATCTCAGTCTTGCTGCAGACACAATTTGCAGGGCAAGCCAGCACGGAACCCACATAGTCCAGCCAGACGCTTCCCAGCAAGAAAATCCGCCAGAAACTACACTTGGCTGGGCAAAGAGAGACATCCATCTCCGATCGCTGCTTCTAAAAAAGAGGAGGAGGAGAGGAGAGGGGGGTGGGGTGGGGGGAGTGGGGAGAGCTGGGGGGGAAGGAAACAAAGACGGCGAGGGAGGGGGGAAGGGGGAGGGGGGCCTCTGCCTTTGAAACGCCGTGCGATCAGATGCAAAATCCTTCAGCGTCTGAAACCATCGCGGCCGCCGCCGCCGCCGCCGCTGGGTGGGAGCCGCGGGGAGCGCCTAGTGGCGCGGTCTGCCTGGCATGGTGGCCGGCTCTGCGCTCGCCGGCTCGCCGGGTCCGGGGGCTCGGGAAGCGAGCCGCGCTCTCCGACTCCGAGACTTTGCAGGGTTGCAACAGACGGTGGGGAGGCAAAAAAAGAAAAAGGAAAAAAAAAAAAAAAAACAAGGAAAAGGAAAATATGGTGCTAAAGTCACCAAGTCCCACCTACTGGGCAGAATTAAAACGGACACACCTGCAAAATACACACACTCACACACACTCACACATCCACACACCCGGCGCCCGGAGGAGGAGGAAGATGCGGTCGGAGCTGCAGCAGCCGCCGCAAATGGCTCGCTGCGCGCCTGCAGAAATGTACAAGTGCTCCGAGCCTTACGAAACGCACGGGTTATCCGAGCGTCTTCCTCGGTTCCCTCCCTCTCTCCCCCACCCTCCTCCCCTCCCTCCTCGCGGCCTCCTCCCCCCGCCACCCGCCCCGGCTGGGAGAGGCAAGAGAGCGGAATCTCCCCCCTCCCTCCCTCTCCCACTCCTCCCCACACCCCTCTCTCTCTCCCCGCCCGCCCTCTCCCCTCCTCCTTCCCCACCCACCCACCTACCCACCCACTCGCCGGCTCGCGGCTCTCGCCCGCACAGCCACCCGCAGCCACGCGGCCGCCCGCCCGCCCGCCAGCTCCAAGCCTAGCGGCCCGGCGCCCGCTCGCCGCAGCCAAGAGGAAAGCAAGACGGAAGGGAAAAAGTTGCAGTTGGGATTGCGAGGGTCTGGACTGGGGAGGGGGACTTGGAGAGCTGGCGGCGCGACGCGGAAAGGCGCTCTCCTTTCCACTTTTTGGCCCTCGCGCTGCCCGGTTTTGCTGCAATCCGGACCGCGAGAGGAAGTGAAATGAACGCGGCCGAGGTGATCGGGGAGCGTTCCCGAGCCTGGGTGGGGGGCACTGGCTTGAAGACGGCGATCAGGAGTGCGGGAGCACACAGGACCCCCAGAGAGGCACCCAGAGCCAGGGACCGGGGCCGCGGACGCCCGGTCCTCGGTCTAAATGACACTCATTCCCGTAATCGAGAGTCCGGGAGCTAGGATCGGCTGGGAAGGGACTGCGGGGCACCGCTGGGTTGGTGCCCCCGCGCCCCTTGCGCCTTCTTGGCGGTGGGTTTTGCGTCCTTGGGCAGACAGGGAGCGAGGAAGGAAGGAACTAGCCCCGAAACGGCTGCGCTGCAGATCCGAGGTGGCCCCAGGCGAGCTGCGCGTGCGAGAGAAACCGCCGGGGAAATTGAGATGCAAGGGGCAATTTTTGGCAAGCATCAGGCCAGTACCGTCAGAGGCCGGCTTCTCGGGCTCGGCTCTCTCGGGTGCGCTGAGCTGGCTGCCGGGCGAGGGGGCGGGCGGGCTGCTTTCTCCGGATTCGGGGGCGCAGGACCTCCCTCCTTCCCTCCCACACAAGCACCCCTTCCTGGTAGGGGCGCAAAGCAGGTGCAGCCTTCTACGCGAGCTCAGTTTCCGTCGGGAGAGGAGGAGAGTCCCCGCTTTTTGCCTTGGTAGAGATATTTCTTTTTAATAAAACGTCAGAATGCCAAATGTTAGATGTTTGCTGAGAACACGGAAGCATTCGCTGCCGGAAAGGAAAAGAAAGGGTTAGGGAAGTCCGAGAAGGCAGACACACTACAGCATTCACACGCAGAAGAAAGCACAGCTCTCCTCGCCGACTTGGAGGAGGGCAGGCGAGGAAGCGAACACACTGAATTCAACTGCATCCAGCATCTGAAAGGATTCTCCCCCGCCCCCCTGTGGATTCCGATGCAGGTCATGCAACTTGCGGGCAAGATGGGGGAAGGGGTATGCGGGGGGCCACCGGCCCGCCCCGGGCTCAATCACAGACTGGCTGGGCGCCTGCGAGTGGCACTGTCGCTGTGAGTAAACTTGGAAGCAAAAAAAAAAAAAAAAAAAAAAAAAAAAGGAAGGAAGGAAGGGAGGGAGGGAGGGAGGGAGGGAGGAAGGAAGGAAGAAAAGAACGTGTCTGTAAAAGGCAGTTTTCCCGATTCTCCCTTACATTCCACCTTCCCTTGGCCTCAGTGAGACTTTTACCCCCTGTTGCCAGTGTGACCTTGTTGCCAGACTGGCATTTTGCCCTCCCACCAGCAGGAGGGGACAGAGAGTGGAGACCTCCTTAGACTCTCAAACCAGTTCCTACTGGCCCAAGGCCATCTCTGATAGCCTTAGTCCACCATAAGTGCCAATCCGTGGTTGGCTCTGGAATATGTTTGAGAATCAGGGAAACTGAGGTGTAGTCAAAGCTGTCACTTGGCCTTTTAGGAGGTGGCAGGTGTTAGCAGAGAAACACAGAGAACCTTTCTCAGACCATGTCAGGGGAGACTCCAATAAGCAGGATGAATCTTTTTTAACGGACAGGAGTGAGCAGTAAGGGGCTCTGACCCCTGGCAGGTAGTTACAACCCCTGGCAGGTGTGTGCCCAAGTAAAGACTCCAATACACCATGTGGATTTAGCCCAGCATCAGTTCTCCAGCCTGGAACTAAGATGGTTGTGTCTTAAAGGTGCCCAACACACTTTTTTTGAGAAAGAAATGATTTTTAACACTTCCAGGAGAGAATTGGAGGCGTCTATAAATCAGAACAAATTTAAAAACTTGTAAAACCCCTTTGGAGATGGTACAAATGCAGCTGTGAAGCAAGAGGCCCTAATGGGACAAGAAGTCTTTCATCCTGACAGTAAGATGGGAATTAAGATGGAACGTTATGTTACGTTTATGCTAGAGCTCTGAGCCTGAGCAGGAAGTGGCAATTTACAAGGAGAAAGGCCTTTTTTAAAGCAGATGATGGGCCGGGAGTGGCGAGAGCAGAGTTCTGTTTGGGACCACGGGCAAATCACTTAAGCCTCTGGGCCTTAGCTTTCAGTCTGTAAAATGACTAGGTTGGTCCACGCTGCCCAAAGCCTGACCCTCTGACCAGCAGCATCCACATCACCTAGAAGCTTGTTAGAAATGCAGCATCCGAGGCCCCACCTCAGACCTACTAAACCAGAATATCCATTTTCACAAGCTCCCCAGGTGATTCATAAGCACACTACAGTTTGAGAAGTACTGAGATCACTCCCATAGTCCCTTCCAGCTTGAATAGTCTCTGATTCTACATGGACCTGGGTGGGAGGGATTGTTGAGACAAAAAAGAGGTTTCAGGGATGTAGATTCTCAGGATATTATTCAGGGTGACAAAAAGTGGGTGTTTCAGATGCAAGGACCTTGTCAAAAAACAGACCTGTGCAGTTTCACTTCAAGCACAAGGGAACTATCCTGATGCTTCATTAATTCTTAACCTCTGAGAACAGCCAGACCTGGATGAGGGGGCAGAAGAAAGTGTCATAGACGCCCTCCTCTTGGTCAGTAGAGGTACGGAACATTTGAGGTGTCTTGTCTGCTTGGCAAGAATGTCCTGGTTGACAAGGAAGAATGGCTGTCACATCACCGTGATTCCCAATCTCCAGCCGTCACTGGGTCCTAGAGAGATCGTGACCCAGCTCAGCACCCTGCCAATCAGGGGATAATCCCTCCCATCTCTTACAGCTAGCATCTTAGAAAGGAGGAAACTTCCCAGTGGATCCCATGCTGATCAATAAGAAGCAGGAATGGGCAGAGTTCTTTGAACAGTAAGTAAAGCTTTAGAAACCTTTTACAGCTGAGCAGTCGCCATCTGATACCAGAGGTATGGAGAAGACAGGAACATTACTAAGATTTGGATGTGGTCGCCCACCAGTCAGGCCAGAATGGGGGCTGCCTTCCAGAGCACAGTGATCCAAGCTTCCTGACATCTAGAGAAACTGAACACATCTTATTCCAAAGGGCATATACCAGCTGCATGAGCGCCTGAGATTTCTCCTTGACTATTTGTTTATAAGATAACCCCAAAGCCAAATCTTCTGCCACCTCGAAAAGGCAGAAGGGAGTGGAGACTCAGGAGGCATAACAAACGAGATGCTGCCCGGGGAACCATCACCTCCCAGTGCCACCCCTGCTGGCCTGCTGCTCACACGTCTACCTTTCTAACCCAGCTACCTCCCCTTTTCCAATGAACCCACACCTCCGAGTCAGTGGCCACGTTATTGGGATGCAGGCCGGACCCCAGACATTTCAGATTTACCCGCCATGCCCTACTCCTAAGATGTCAGCCTAAATCCAAGAACCATGCTGCAGAACTTTCTAATTTGAACAGAAATAGGACCCACCACCATAACTCTGAGCTGGGAGGGGAACTGCGGTTCTGGGTGGTTACTGGGTGGGGAGGGGGGAGCACAGGAGAAGTCAAAGGGAAAACTGAACCCTGAAGAATTTGCTGTTGCAAAGAGTATCTGGGCTGGCAGGCTTGGACTTGGGTCAAAGAAAGTCCTGTTTTCTGGGTGGCCTTCACTCAAGATGCAAGGGGAAAAGGCACATTTGGAGGCTGAGAAGATGTAATGGTATCCAGAAGGCCCGGAGCCAAGGAGGGAATTTCAACTGTATATGGAGAATGTAAGCCCACCCATGAAGGGAGACAGTCAAGCACCAAGGTGGTCCAAGGAAGCAAGAAAATCCAACCACAGGAGGTCCCAGCTCAGGACCCAGATTTAAGTCCCAAGATTTTAGGCACACACCTGCCAGGGATTGGAACTACCTGCCAGGGGTCAGAGTCCCTTACTGCTTACTCCGGTCCATTAAAAAAGATTCCCTGAAGGATACCTAGCTTCTCCTCTCCTGCCCTGGTTGGAGTGTCTGGAGACATTTAGGGGACCAGTGATGCTACCCAGGTGATTCTCCATTTATTCTACTCACCCAGAATGATAGATTCATAGAGTCTCTGGGCTGGAAATGACTCCCGCCAACAACCTGCAACACCACTGGATGTAGAAATCCCCTCAACAACATCCCCAAGTATCCAGCCTGTTCCCTCTTGAACACCTTCAGGGACAGGAAGCTCATACCACCCAAGGCCTCCCATTCTGTCCTCAAATAGCTTTATTCCTTGATAGCCTTCAGTTTGAAAGAATGAAGCCAGGCTCCCTGAAGCTTCCACCCTTGGTACTAGTGCTGGCACCTAGAAGCCCAGGGGAAAATCTTGTCACTTTTCTGCAAGCCAATCAGGAGGCTGCCCACATCCACCTCTTCTCCGAGCAAAATATCCTCAGTTCCTGCCCTGTACCTCAAAAGCACAGCTTTCTGGTCCTTCCCCACTCTGGTCTTTCCTGATGCATTCAGGTTTGTCAATAGCCCCTTTAGAGTATGGCTCCAAATCATGCAGGCTATTGGCGCTCTGACCTTGGGGAC